CACAGATTGCTAATGCATTGGAAATGACTTTTGGACGATTTGTTTTCTTAAATATTTTGATTTTTAAAAATTTATAAAATGTGTATAAATAAGATGTTTATCAAAAAATATTTAAATTTAAAAGCAATTAACTTAATTTTCTGTATGGAAAATTACCAAACTAATAAAATAATTTAAATGCAAAATTTGGGATAATTTTTGAAAATATTTTATAAATAAAATAAATGTTGGTAATTGTTTTATAACCACGTGTTCTATAACCTTTAAATAAAAAAAATCACGCAAGTCCAATTTGTTTATAAATTAAAGTAATAAAGCAAATTAATGTCATAATTATTTAAGTATTTGGTAATACTCGATCCCTTGTGTACAAATTAAGTTTAGTTTAAAAGTATATTTCCAGATTTGTAAATAACCAAACTTGACACTTAAAATTGTTGTATGTATAGAAACATAAACGTGATTCATGTATATATACAGGGTGGCCTATCGAAAACAGTACATTAAGGTTTACGGCTTTGTATGTAAAAAATAAAAAAATCTTCGGAACCGCAGGACATATTTACACATTAATTTCATCACTGTAACTTTACCCTATTTTTTGATAAATCTTTTAAAATGGCATTAAATTTTCGCCTGGCAATGGAATTCCGAACATTTTACTGGACGGTTTATTTACAAATTTCGTAAAGCAAAAAATTCGTAAAAAAATTGTTTTTAAACTGACAAATATCAGTCGTCAAATCGACTTTATCTTATCAGTAACGTAGTTGATGTTGATTTAGGAGTTCGATTTTGTCCTCGGTGAGAAGCGCATCGCTCCTGCATTGCTCCATGAAAAAGTGTGAAAAATAGTTGACTTTGACTCAGGGAAGACAGAATCGGATTCCTGTCCTAGATAATATTCCTCGTTTTGTCCTTTTTTAAAGGAATAGAGGAATTTATATGAACATTTAAATTTCAAGGTTACATAACCTATTTGTGTCCACGTGTTTGTTAGACAACAGTTGTCCAATTGTTTTTGGTTCTTCTGAAATCATTGGACGTTAAATACTAGTAGCTGGTTAATAAGGACTATGTCCAGGACCATAAGGGCGGTGGTTAAGCCATAAATCCGCCCTAGTTGAAGAAGAAGAAGAAGATGTTGATTTATTTTTTTCTGATTCGATAAAAAATGGTTTATTTTATTGCGGGGAGGGTGAAAATTATTAAATTGTATTTTATAAACAATCAATGTGCAAGAGTAACGGCAAGTTTGTTTAATTAGAGGCATGCAAATATACACGGTTGGCTGGTTCAGTGGCAAATAAAAAACGAGATATTAAAAATTCGGTGAGAAATGAGGCAGTAGAAGTAGTTGTTATGGGTGATTACTTTGGACCCTACATTGTACCAGAAAACTTTCTGATGTAACTGGAGTTTCGCGGGACACCCTACAGAGAATTCTGAAACATAATAATTTAACTTCTTCAAGAATTGCATAAAGATGAAAATGACCACAGTTTACAATTTTGTGAAATACTGCCCAAAATAATTGTAAATACTCCAAACTACCTTTTTAGGTTTGCTTATCAGACGAATGTTTCTTTTTTTTCAATGGCATTGTCAATCAACATAACTCTTGTTATTGATCCAACACAAATCCAAGCATCTTCCATGAGGTTCATACTTAACATCCTCAGATATTGGTTATCACATAATTGGACCATTTTTCTTACCGGAAAATTTAAATGGAGCTACTTACTTATTGGAGAATGCCGTCAACCCAGCTCAGATTGAAATTTAGTTTATGGATGAACGTTTCCTGATAGATGGATTGAGAGAAGTGCCTGCGAGATCACCAGATTAATCTTCCGTTGATTTATTTTTGTGGGGACATCTGAAATCTGAAATTTATGCCACCCAGCCTGAATCCTTAGAAGAGTTATGGAACCGCATCACTAATGTATGCCATCAAATAACACCCGATATTCTTCATAATGTCTGGGAACACTTTGAACAGTTGCTGTACTATTGTATGGACATTTTTAAAAGTTAATATATAATACGTAAGTACTAATTAATTAAATTAAATTAAATTTCTTGGCAACCGCACTACAAATTTACAAAACGAAGCCACATTTTAGAGAAATTTTAATGGCCTTTCAGAAGATGTATCACAACACACCCATTTGAAAAAATACCGCCCACGCTAAGGGGTTTAAGTTGAGAAGATAAAATTAATGTGTAAATATGTCGTAAACAAAAGTTTTGCATCGTGCAATCATTAATGTCTCCAAAATTTTACAAATATTTGATGCTCAAAACAACCCAGCAAATTCACAAAAACATCACAGTGTCAAAATTTCACCTCGTTTTTGAAAAGTACTTCTTGTACCCACAAACCGAAAGAAGCCCAGATTTTCAAACAGGTGGGCACCCAAGAAAGAGTTTCTGATGAAGAATATTACACTACAGTTGTTCTTAAATGTAGCGAAGATTTTATTTTAAATTTTAGGTTGCGCTAATTATGGACATTACTGGTGCCTACGAACCTTGCTATTGTGAATATACTGGATAATGGGACCTATCTTCAAAAAATTCTTTATGTTTCGTTTCCTGATACGAAAACAAGTATTGCTCGCAGTTTTATCATTGTGGGTAAAGGCTTCAAAGTTAATGCTAATAAAGTATGTAAGAAATATATAACTTAACGTTCTAATTACGCTACCGAGAGGTTCTTCCTTCAAAATGAAAATGAACATTGCAACCTGTTGATATCAATACTGTCAAAAATGCAATAAACTACCAGATGCAGAATCTTACACTGGTCATAGTTTGAGGGGATCGGCGAAATTAATAGGAAGCAATCAAATGGGTGAAAGTCCACCACCGTAGCGGGAGGCTTTATTAAGAAGTCGGTGGCAAGTAAAATAGATATAGCACAAAAATCTTAGGTGCAATTTTTCAACAAAGAAGCGGTTATTCTTTTGTGATTCTGCTCTTTCGTCTGGTAAAAGAGGTAAGAGTTTTATGCAATTTGTCTGGACTGTGGGTGCTGTTGAGAAAACTAGTATTGATTGGGAAATTGTGGAATATGACCAAGTCAATAAGGTGTTAACTATATTACTATATAATGATGATGTAAATTTTAATCTAAATAAATAAATTATGAATTCTGACGTATTTTGTTTTATTAATTATCAAAAAACACTAACTAGTGCGTAATGGATGTAGTATAAGACACTAGTGTGTTAATACCTTCATAGTGGGACACAAATCAGTATAATTATGCTATTGTAATATGTGAATTGTGGGTAATAGTATATTATAGTACACTTTAGTCACGAATTTTAATTAGGCGCGAGTATACAAGCGAGTGTTTAATTAAATGAGTCTCTAGAAAAGTTTATAATCGAGTTGCATACCTTCCATGTTTTACGACACTGACTTATTATTATTATCAAATGATTTAATGATTTAAAAAGATTGAAATTATATATTTGTATAGAGCGGCATCTATAAAAAAAATAGAGTAACACGCGTTACAATTTTTAACTTGGGAATATGCATACGCCATACAAAATGTCAAATTTGTAAGTAAAAATCGAAATGTATCCATTGAAAATAGACTAATAACCTTTTAAATGATATATAATTAGTTTTTCAGAGTAAAAGTAAAAATAATGTTTTATGGGCACTTCACGGTGGAGTCTCTACCCGAAATTGTTAATGCTTTAACTTAAATCTAATTTACTAAAGGTTAGTACAAACTGGCTTATAAACCAGCCCGTGACTAAAATGCCATAAAGCCACAACTTGTATTAAAAAAACACTTAGTGTCATGAAAACATGTACGATAATGGGTGTAGAAAAAAATAATTTTATTTCCTATAAACCATATATTTTTTACAAAACCGATTTTTGCACTATAACATTGATTTTTATCTTATTCAGTAGTCAATGGCGTATTTTTTATATATTATATTTTCATTTCTAATATTATATTTAAATATAATTAAAAAGTGCACACCATTTTTGGAGACCCCAATCAGCGATATCGCACGAACCCCATTTTATAAAAGTAGTGTTTTACATTTAACAAATGTTCATTTTTCATAATTTCTAGTGATATTATAAAGTAATACAAAATTTAAAATACCATTGACTTGAATCGTGTTTTTCAATTTGCAAAATTTGTGTTAATAATAAGATATTGGCTTGCTAAAAATAAAAAAATATATGAAGCAATATTTATATAAAATTCTAAGAAATATTTTTTTTATTTAATAAAAAATAATGATAATAAGTTCGTTTTAAGCTCACAATACTTATTTTAATTTTGCATGTGGTTTAAAACTTCAGCAGTTATACAATAAATTTTTATAAATATAATACCATCAAAAATAGCGTATTTACAGTCCTTTTCTGTATAGCACAAATTAAAATATAGATAAAAAATAAAAATTAAAGCATATGTAAGTCTAAATTTGCGAAATGCCATATTAAACTAAAAATAAATTTAATAATTATTATAAATTAATGAATAATTAAAATTAAATGACTGTGACCAAAAACTGGGTCAATATCAAATGCATCTTGTTTTTCCGGAACCATGATTTATTTAAATTAAAATAAAGATTTAACCTCCTACTAACAAATATCGGTTTGAGACGACCTTCGTAGATATTTGAAAATAATAACAAAATATTTTATCTAGCAATCTAAATTAATTGTCTATAATAAAACATCCTATAAAAATGCTAAGATATTTAATGATTATTTAGATATGTATATAGATATAGATAGCGTAATTTCTGTAATAAATTATATTTAGTATTATATACTATAGTTATAAATTATAATAGCTATAAATTTGAGCGTGTATGAATTATATTTATGTATACATATAAGGTGATGCGGAAATAGTTATTTTAAAATGTATCTTACATTTTTTCATGATACAATATTACATTATATATTAAAATAGTTAATATAATAATAGATTTCTTTTATTTTAGGATATTGCCGGCATGTTAAAAATAGTAGTTGACAGATATCACACAGTAGTAGACAGAATAAGTGGTAAGTAGAATATAAATATATATGCTAAGAATATAAAATATACAAAGTTTCCTACAAATAAGTTTTCTAAATTAAAAAAAGAATTTGGCAACGCATATGTAAGATAAGCTAACAATTAAAAAACTGTTGTTACGGAGAAAATTTAAATAGGACAGCTGAGGTTGACAGATTTATTTTGCATCAAAAATCTACAAAAATGTTTGAAGTATGAACTAACTACAAAATATACAACATTTAAGAATTTTATTGCTTAAGATAATTGATTCAGCTTCTGGCAATTCATGACCAAACACACGTATATACAAAATTTAGAAAACATTTTCGATAGAGCCAAGCAATTGCTGAAATTGGTACTATGCAAACCTAAGCGATGGAAGAAAACTGGGTCGCTTGTAAAAGTTTTTCAACGAGAAAGGCGTGTAATATGAAAATTCACCTTGGTTGTTTATTAATTAAATTTTAATTTGTTTGGGTGACTATCCAAATATTGCTATATTATTTGGAATTTGGTGAGTAATTGAATAGGTAATATTTTCCTGTTATTATTTTTAATAAATTGCTAAATACGTAGATCAGGAAAGGTCAATTAATTATTACTTAATTAATGGGTTAGTTAGTTGATCGGATGTTTTAATTGTCATTCTAAATATACATACACGTAAATATATCTATAGTTTTGCATTGTATTTTCACAATATAATCTTTTATGAGTTTGTGTAAGAATTTAACAAATTAATTTTTTGTTGTAATACTTAATACAGAAGGTAAGTATTTCATAAACCTCTATCACTTGTTTCAGTTTTTGCTTGTTTTTTTCGTATTTGATTTTGACCGGGTAACCAAAAGTTATCTTTTTGGTGTGGTATTTAGGCTACAAGATTTTGGCTTTCTAAGATAAAATCCTTAGTAGCATGAGAAGTGCTGACTTTAAAACCACAGCAAAAAAGAATACAAAGAGACAGCGGAAAAAAACGAAAAAGTTCTAAAATAAATATGCAGAAAAGGAAATGAGAATTTTATAACCATCTAAGTCTTCTTCTGAAAACTCTGAAATAGAAGTGTGAGCATGGTTTATGTAAAATATTGGAACTAAGCTCTACTTGGAATTAGAGCTCTTAGACATCTGAAAAGTTATTCAAACAAAAAGAACAGTAAATAACTAACACACTTGGGTTCTTACAAATCTATTAATTGATTTAGAACTTTTGACAATAGAATGTCTACAAAAACTAAAGAAATTATGGTAAAAAACCTCAATCGTCAAAAATTGCCTGTTTTCCTTAAGGATACTGTAGTTGCTGACTAATTTATTTAAAAGATGTTTAATAATCCTTGGATAATGCCGAAATAAAAATTAATTTAAAATCTCGACCCTGTCAAATATTTTGCTTAATTACATAATTTAAACCAATTTTACTTTTCAATAAAAACGTATCAATCATATTTTTATAAACTAACTATTTATTTAAAACAAACATATTAAAAACTGGTTAAACATTGTTGAAACATAACTTTAAATCGGATTTCAATGATTTTTACCTATTTAATAATAAAACCCTCACTGGGTTTGTTAAAGTTAATTCTTTTTTTTATGATTTTTGAGTCTTGGGTAATTTATTGTAAATTTATATACGTAATATTTTGGTAACACGTTTTTTTTGGCAAAGTATTTGTTTCGACTCTTTGTGAAAAAGTATTTTATTTTAATGCAATAAAATTTGGGGTCAATGTTCTTAAAATTGCCTTTTTTCTCTTTCTTTAGTCTGCCTCAATTAATGGTATTTTATTAATATAAGACCATAAAAAATAAATTTCTATCAATGAGGAATAGATTCAATTTGTTTTAATTTTGTTCAAAAAAATTTAAATTTAAATTTTTTCGTTCAATGTTCGGAATCTTGCCTTTTTATAATTTTAAGTCTCCTATGTATTTATTATGTATGTATGTTATTATTTTTTCAATATTTATTTTAATTAACTTAATTAAGCTATTTTTAATATATTTTTATAAATAAAAATGTTTTTATAAAAAATTACTAAACTAATAAAACAAACAGTTATAATTTTGTATAAATTAAGTATAATATAAAAACAAAAGACACGAATAAAACAAAATTTTAAAATGAATGTTTTAAAAATTCTGACAGTCATAAAAAAATCCCTAGAACTATGAAAAAAGTTGGTAACACTGTTTATGCTAAGTATGCAGTTTTATGATTGCAATGAATTGTTTATTAAAATACATTATTTTAAACATAAAAACCTTATTACAAGGAATCAGAATAAAAAACATCAACTACTAAGTTAATTAATGTTTAAGGGAAATTTAGGGTTTGTCAAACCCAGCGTTGGTATACTTTTAGTTAAAAAAAATATTGTAATCTGGTTTAAAACTTTGTGTTGCACTCTGTAATAAAATAATCTCTAATCGTTTGATCTAACTAAACATTACTTTTTTAAAATCAACTCACGTTGCCACATTTAAATAAAATTGCGTATACATAAAAATAACTTACTAATTTCCTTATTTTTAAGAAGTCCTTGCAAATTTTATCTCCAAGGATTTCTTTAATAAAATATTATTTTAAATGTGTAGCAAAATATCAGCAGTTTATTAATTTTAATATTATTTTAACCTATTAAACTATTTTAGAAAAAGAATACAATAAATAAACATAACTAAAACGGTAAACGGAAAAAAAGCCCCTGGAAAAAAAACCATGGAAAAAAAACCCCCGGAAAAAAAAACCCCAGGAAAAAAAACCCCTAGGAAAATAAACCTACAGGAAAAAATACCCCCTTACAATTTTTTTCGGAATTTTTTAACAATTTTTTTATATTTTTTTTTAAACTTTTTTAGAATTTTTTTACAATTTTTTTTACAATTTTTAGCATTTTTGGGCATTGATTTTTGCAAATTTTTTATTTTTGCCAATTTCGGGGATTTTTACTCAATGGGGCGGGGGGGGGTCAATGGGGCGGGGTCGGTAGGGTTGTGTTGTTGAGTTTGGGTTGATTTGGGTTGGTTTCGCTCATTTTTGCGGTATTTTTACAATTTTTGCATTTTTTATGTGACACTTGTCAAACCGGGATTTATTTTTTGGCTTTTTTTCCTAGGGGTTTTTTTTCCTAGGGGTTTTTTTTCCGGGGGATTTTTTTTCGGGGGTTTTTTTCCGTGGTTTTTTTTCCAGGGGTATTATTTCCTAGATTCAACTAAAACACCCTCTATTCTATAATATTTAATAATATTTTATTTGTTTTTAATAATTTAATATTTTTTAGATCCTCGTACGACAGACTGGCCCCTTATGCAGAGTCCTGTTCCGACAATCACTATGGTGGTCACATATCTTTACGTTATCCTTCTGCTAGGACCAAGACTAATGCGAGACAGAAAACCCTACAAACTAAAAGAGATCCTGATAGCCTACAATGGAGCACAAGTTTGTTATAGTTTATTTATGTTGTACGAGGTAAGAATAACTTGTGTCAAGAAAAATACTTATTGCATGGATAGTGTACACTCATTGAAAGTTTCAAAATTAAAATTAAAATGTTTATATTATATTATATTTTTATTGTCTATAACATTTTATCTTTAAGGCACAATATAATTTGCTAAACGATACCTAAAACGTAAAATTATAATAAAAATTATTAGAAGAGAAAAGTGAGGTTAGGTAGATAGTCGAATGTTTCGATTGGTCCAAAGAAATAACTAATACATTTTTACTCCTAACCCGATTGGACTAAATCATTTTTAAATGTCCAGGCAATATTAAATCACTTAAGTAACGAGTGTTGATCAAAATAATAATAATAAAGTTTTTTTTTAATTTTATTTAAGTCACTTGAAAAATAAACAAAAACTAACTAACATTTAAATTAATTTTAAAACTTTATTTATTTTTTTAATTTTTATTATTTAATTTCACATAAAATTATTTAATATTCGAGAATATTTAGGTATATCCTTGGCATTTTAATGAGTATAATATTGTCGTGACGGAATCTTTACCAACATTTTAAAAAGTGCATAAAAAACTTACGAAATATTTTCCACAACAAGTCGGGATTCCCCACTTTTGCGTGTTCCTGTCCATTTATGTTAATTAAAAATTCCAGTGTTTTTACAAAGAGGTACCACACTAAAATACCATCTGTAATCTGTATATCTTAAATAATTTTTTTTTGTTTAAATTGGGTCTGGTATTACCCATTTTATTTAGCAAATTTTTTGCTTGCTCGTCATTTCATTTTTATTTTATGTTAATATTGTTTTTTTGGTACTTAATATTATTAAAAAAATAACTTATTTTAAAGGTGTAATTGTTAATTTATAAATTTATAAAATATTAACACTTTTTTATTAAACTTTCATTTTCAATTAAAAAATTAATTTTTGGGATTTGTTTCACCCTTTATATATCAAATATTCAATAATAAACAAATATACATAAATATATCAACCTTAACATACAAGCATTATTAAAGAAAAGAAAATATTATTCAACAAGGTAAAAATAGAACAAATGCGCGAAGCGCGAAGGTATTGAACCAGTTTGTCTATTATCTAACAAAACTTGACCTAACACAACGTAAAACGAATGAAAAGAACACAAATTTTATGTGTTGAACTTTCTCCTAGCAAGAGTGTGTCCCTGAAGCGGCGTGCATTCGGCCTTGCGAAGGCAACGAACGTCCTTGTGGAGAAAGTCAGACAGACTATACAGTATAAATGGTACTTGTTATAATGAACCGTTGATATGTTTTGGTTACATAAAGGTCTTGCTATTTCTTAACAAATAATACAATGGATTTCTTCAGTTGTTAAGTTCAAGGTTTATTTATATGATTTTTCTATATAAAGATCCCTTTTTCGTCCTGTTCCCTTCCTTTTCTCGTTCTTTAGATTAAAGAAGCATGATGACAATAAAGTATATACACTCACGTGCAAAATAATCGATCCACACAAATTTTCGATGAATTTCAATCGCAAATTTTTTATTTGATGTCGGATTAAAACGAATATTAAAGAATATTGTAGATAAATTAATGGACAATCGCTCACATTTTAAAAAAATACTAAAAAATAGATGTACGTTTATAATATACGTTTAAGACACTCTGTAGAGTGGCAAAACCGTATATTGTTCTAAATTAAGTTTTATTTATCAAGTCACATCTATTCTTAACAGTTCACCTCGATATGTTTATTTGTGTGGAAAATATGGATTTTTTAAAAAACATTGCAATTTCCAATATTTTTCCTGTATGAAGAACTAAGGTTGCTTTGGTCCATCCATAGCCTATGGAGAATGACAGTGACAGTCTTGTTGAATCTTCCCATACTTGGACATGTCATATACAGCTTTCAAAAGCTATCAAATTGTTTTTTGTAAATTAATGTGTTAATTTTGAGGTGTCTTCTTACTTTTAAAAATGTCTCCGACTGATGTTGCCCTTTGTACTTTACTTCTTATGACGTTTAAAACACTTGCCACGTAATACTGTGACCGTCCATCCTGGATTAAATTAATAGCTCTGGCAACATCAGTCAGAGACATATCCATTTTATAAAGTAAGAAGACACCTCAAAATTTAAACATTAATTTGCAAAAAACAATTTGATAGCTTTTGAAAGCCGTGTATGACATGTCCAAGTATGGAATGATTCAACAAAACTGTCACTGTCATTCTCCATAGCCTATGGATGGACCATAGCAACCTTAGTTCTTCATACAGAAAAATATTGGAAATTGCAATGTTTTTTAAAAAATCCATATTTTCCACAAAAATAAATATATCGAGGTGAACCAAAAACAAAACTGTTAAGAATAGATGTGACTTGATAAATAAAACTTAATTTAGAACAATATACGGTTTTGCCACTCTAAACTTATGGTAAAAAACATCTTTTTGTTTAAACCTGTATATTATAAACGTACGTCTATTTTTTAGTATTTTTTTAAAATGTGAGCGATTCTCCATTAATTTATCTACATTATTCTTTAACATTCGATTAAATCCGTAATCAATTAAAAAAGTTATTTGCGATTGAAATTCATCGAAAATTTGTGTGCAGATAAAGCTAAATCAGATATTTTTAAATGTTAAATTTTTTTTAAATTTTATTTAGCACTCACGGCCACATAACTTATGATTCTTGGTTAATGTATTTGATATGTATTCATGAATAAATATTCGAATTAGTCTGTTAAAATATAAAAAAAAACGTGTTGCTATATCGCGAAACAAGGGCTGATTACACAAAATTGTTAAAAAATTTGAAACAGAGCTGTATACATGTAGATATTTTTTTGTCTTCAGGACACCAACAAACTTTGGCTTATTCTTTCAAAAGATATGGTATGGATAAGATCAAGAAGCAAATCTAACGAAAACCTCATTTTCGTCATCTATGTCGTACTTCAACGTTAAAAATCAAAACAAGATAACCCCATTTTTGCTCCCAAAAATTGTGGTTATTTAGTACGGCTATATTAATTTTCGTAAAGTTCGACATATATAACGAAAATCAGGTTTCGACTATAGGCGCATTCATGCTCACTAAAATAAGAAATAAGAAATAATAATAAGAAATAAGAAATAAGATAAAAAGTTAAAACTGTGTAAAGTAATGGTTGCGTTCATGCTCATGAAAATAAGGAATAAGAAATAAGAAATAAGAATAAAGATTAACAAATTTTAACTTTGGTTCTTATTCTTGCGTATAAAACTGCGCAAAGAACCAAAATGGGTCTGTGAATTATTTTGATGGGTTTTATGTGCTGGCCATGGAGCCATGGTGTTGGAAATCGCGTTGAGTGTCGCTGTCGATTGTTTACGTTTATAGCCAATATAATCCACTATAATAAAATATAATTGTGTGACAACATTTTTTATTTCTTATGTTATCAGCATGAACGATCAATCGCGGTCTTATTTCTTATTTCTTATTCCTTATTTCTTATTTCTTATTCTTATTTCTTATTTCTTATTTCTTATTTCTTATTTCTTATTTCTTATTTCTTATTTCTTATTTCTTATTTCTTATTTCTTATTTCTTATTTCTTATTTCTTATTTCTTATTTCTTATTTCTTATTTCTTATTTCTTATTTCTTATTTCTTATTTCTTATTTCTTATTTCTTATTTCTTATTTCTTATTTCTTATTTCTTATTTCTTATTTCTTATTTCTTATTTCTTATTTCTTATTTCTTATTTCTTATTTTAAGTGAGCATGAATACGCCTTATATCTTTTGAATACATGAGTCAAACAGCCTTGGAGATAGCTTAAAATGTTTGCAATATTCCATTCTTTAAGAAAAAGTAAAAATTGTTCATATATCGTGTATTGCTGTGGTTAATTCAGTTTAAAAGATAACAAAACCACAAAAATTGGCTATCAGGCAGAAAAATTCTTCGGCAGGAAAGTGGTTGCTCACCGAGCAGAAAAATAGCTGCTGACCATTAAAGCTTAAGAATGTTACAAAGCATCATGTAAATATTCCCTACATTGCACCAGTCTGGAAAAAGTTCGTCTTGATTCTCTACAATGTTTGGCGTGGGACCTCACGAATTTCTCATCGACTATTCTTCTTCAGGTTGTCCAAATTTCTTGGTTTGTCGGGATAAACTCTTTCCTTAAGATATCTCCACAGATAAAAATCACAAGGGGATAAGTCGGGCTTCTTCAGGTTGACCAAATTTCTTGGTTTGTCGAGATAAACTCTTCCCTTGAGATATCTCCACAAAAAAAAATCACAAGGGGATAAGTCGGGCTTACCCCAAAGCGAGATCAGCTTAGCAGAGATCTTCTGAGTTGGGCCCCATACTGCCTTGAGGTGTAGGCAGTCGCTTCTTTGAAGAATTCAGAGGTGTATATCTCCTTAAAAAATAAGGATCTATCACTTCTTACCTACTCACTGCAGCCCAGTTACTACTTGACATTGAAGAGGCCGCTGATGGAGTTTCTGTGTGTGAGTTGGACAGAGTCATGACGAAATGGCTGGTCAACATTTGAGAGACATAATTTTTGCATTATGTTTTTTCTACTACATTATTTTTAATATTAATAATAAATTAAATATTATTATATACTTTATCTCGTTTAAATAAAAAAAATAATGAACAAGTTAACCCAGTGTTATTCCATTTACAAAACCATCTGGTTTTACTGCCGGACCCTGTTTTTAATAAATTATTGTTAATTAAATAATAGGAAGATAATAAAACTGATTTGGTAAATTTTATTGTGGGTTTAAATATTAAGGTAACAGTCATTGACATTTAATTAACGACTCTTAAAATAATAATTCATTGTCAATCAATAAAAAAATTGCGTAAAATTAATGGTACATCATGTATCAAGTTTTATGAACGCCATTTTAGTTACGAGTTTTATTAGGCACTAGCGAAGCTTAACTGTCAACGGATTTAACCTCAGTTTTACCAATTTATAATAAATTCAACTTCAGCCCGTGTCCAAAAGCCACTGTTGATAACTTTGGCCCGTGACTAAAAGGCCATAAAGTCACAGCTTCTTAATGGAAGAGTAGATGCAATATATTACGTTTCTTTAATGAAAATCATTCTTCGCAGAATATCATATAATTTTATAACATAAAATTTACTGTTTCTTAACACTTATGTGCTTATTTTTTTTTTACAAAACTAAAAAATAATTTTGGGTCATTGAATAAATCAAAACAAATGTTTTTCCTTGTATGTCGAAAATATGAATTATGAATAAGATATTGTTGTAAAAATCCTAAGCCAAAATTATTATGAAATGTATGTGACCTACATATTTTTTATATGATATTCTTCAAAATACTTTCGATAACTATACTCAACAGCCATTTAGCTGTAGTTTAAAACAAGCACCTTACAAGAAAAGTTCTAGACTACCCTGCAACAGTAAACTTATTAAAAAAATACTAATACAAATCCTATATTGATTATAATTATAATTATATATTATATAATTATAATTAGAACGATATAAACATATTTATTTATTATGAAGAATGATGGTTCATAAATGACAATAACAAAACGATTTTAGACATATGGTCTTCTTAGCTTTTTAATGAAAGGCAATTTGAAAGTCCAATTTTGGTAAATTTTGAGCTCTATTGGCTCCTGAATAGTGTATTAGCATACACCATAAAAGGAATTCAGTAGCGGTTCCTTTTGCCATATAATGTCGTTGAATCGTTTTTTCAATTCAATTCAATTCAAGTCAATGATTTCTTGGTCCAGATCGTTTTGTCGTTTGATATAATCAAAGTAATAATCAATTAAGTTAAATATTGACTGTAACGCTAACTTCAGCCTCATCAGTAAAATTTACCCACAACACTACGCTTGCTGATCAATTCTCAAAATGAGTTTTGAAAGATACAAAAGTATTGTATTTAGAGCTGGAGAAAATACTTCTGAAAAGTATAAAGTATATACTTTAAACAAAATAACTTAGTTACCTCTGGTAACTAGATACTTTGAGTTAAAAGTATCTTTAGTTACAAGATACTTTAAAAAGTATCTAAGATACTATCCAAAAGTATATAGGATACTATATGAAAGTAAAGATACCTTTGAGTAACTAAGATACTTTTAAGTAACTAAGATACTTTTGAGTAACTAAGTTACTTTTAAGTATGAATAAAAAATATAAAATTATAAAAAATCAACAAGTTGTAGGTTAGGTTATTTCTTTAAATCATTCTGGAATTCCCCCAATTTTCTCTAATAAAGTATCTAAGTTACACTGAAAAGTATCTAAGTTAGTTTAAAAAGTATCTTAGTTACTTTAAAGTATCTAAGTTACTTGAATGTATCTTAATTACCGAGAAACTTAGATATTTTTTAGATAAAAGTATCAAGATACTTTTCCAAAATAACTAAGTTAATATACTTTCTGGCCAATATAAAAAGTATCTAAGATAAAGTATCTTATATATTTTAAGTACCTATCTAAGTTACTTTTAAGTATCATTTTTTTCAAGATACTCCCAGCTCTCATTGTATTGTATTAATAATGATTTCCCACACATAGCTAAACATTCTTAAAAATGACAGTACGGTTTGAAAGTTATTTCCTCACTGAGAAAAAAATGGGACAAATAAACTGTTTACCTAATACTTTTATTTGTAGTGAATATATTGTTTATTACCTCTAAATAGTCGAAATAATAACGATAAATATACTTTGGTAAAACTTTATATGTCGGGAATAAAAATATATTTAGGATAAATAAACTGTACCCTTGTCCCATATTTAAATATTTTTTTTATTTGGGAGCAATAAACTTTTTTCTCCGTGCTTTAAAGTATCCTTCTTAAAAACTTGTTTTGATACTAAATAAGAATGAACGAAATTGATGAATGGAACCTTTTTAAAAGATGTAAAATATATCCGCCAATACCAAGTTCGATGACTGACTGATTAACTGTTTCATAACGAAACTTGTTACACGACCTTACTTTTTGCTATGATATAATTATTTAATATTTCCTTAAGTAAAGTTTCATTATCAACGTTTTCAATGCCAATGCAGTTCAATGCAACTGCTTTGAGATAACTTAATTAAATCTATAAATAACTTCTGATTAAAATACAAAGTCTATTTATAATCATTAAACTCTTTGGTTATATTCTATATTTAGTATATTTTTAGTTGTTTATATATAATTCAGAAAAAATGGAGAATTTCAAAATATCATATGTGTCAGGTTTGCCGGATTTAACTGCTACATTCTTTTGAGCTGTTTAATATGATAGCGATTATAATCTAACTTAATATTAAAAAAAATCTAGTAGGTATTGAAATGAGGACAAAGCAGAAACCTTTAAAATACATGTATTTATTTTTATATATTTAAGTTTATGCTACAGATTCTTCAATGAAAAAAAAATCATTCCATAGGATCATCATTTATTCATCTTAATGAATATTTTTCTAATAATATCTTTTTAATTAGTTAAACTAATTTATTTTATTTTTTAGCATTTAATGAGCGGCTGGTTTTGGGATTACAGTTATAAATGTCAACCAGTAGATTACTCGAACAATGAAAAAGCTATGAGAGTAAGTATTTTTTATAGTAAATATTAATTTCATAGAAGATTATGGAACCAGACCTAACATTCAAGTAAGCAATGCTCTAATAAATTAATTTGTGTTAATTAATTTAAATATTGTAAAAATAACGTGTGGGTTAAAAACTGTATAAAACAGGTAACAAGGAACATGTCGACCACTACACTATATGAGGACAACAAAAGGTGTCCAGAGATATCGAAGTTATAGAAGTTTAGAAGATATTTCATAGGAGCTTAATTTTTAAAGTGAAAGTTTTTCTCATTCCTCATCACAAAATCTGTGAAATATTTCTTTACAACATTAGGTATAATATTAACATATTTTTGGTTTTAAAATACACGCTGCCAAATTTTCTTTGATATGATCAACATGTATTTTTTACACTCCAATAAATAAACACCTGTGTGTAATTGCGACTCACAATAAATAAAATTAATATTATTACATGCCCATATAAATAAAACTCTTGTAATATCTTTGCCTATTGCAACTGAAGTATTTCAAAATATTTCAAGAAAGTGCGAAATGGAAGTTTTGCAAAAAAAATAATTGACTTGAACATTAACCAAGACAATTTTTTGTATTTTTTTTTTATTTTTTAGATGGCAACCCTGTGCTGGTGGTACTATATTTCGAAATTAAGCGAATTTGCTGACACTGTGTTCTTCGTTCTTAGAAAAAAAGATAGTCAGATTACTTTGCTTCATCTATACCATCATAGCTTGACTCCACTTGAAACCTGGATCCTGGTCAAGTTCTTGGCAGGTATAATATTCCTCATATTAATTTATTATCATCATTTGACATTTACTTGTTTATAATGCTTATACCTATTATCATAAATAAAAGAGCAATGTAAGAGTTAAACCGCCCCCTCTCCAAAATCAAAATAATATTCTATAAAAAGGTAGAACTGATTTTGATAAAAGCAATAATCAGCCTAAGAAATGAACCATCAGTTGTTTGTGTTTGTCTGGGTAATTTCACAACTATGTCAATGCTCGCAGAACTGTTTACTATAAATAAATACCACACATTTAAATAAAAAAAAAACAATAATAAAAACATGAAGTGAAAGGTTTTGTAATAAACTTTAAAGTCAATGTATTATTCAGCTATTCAGCTATAGGAATAATTAACTTTGGCAATCATATGGTTTAAAAAAAAAGTGTATATATTTGTTAATATTAAACGTGTATGTGTTTGTTATGTGTATAGGTCTAAAAAATTTAACAAAATTATTATTGTTAAAATCATCATGCTGTAGAATTGCTTCATAATTTCTAAATAACAGGTTTTTTAGAAATTCTAACACAAAAGTATAAAGGTCGCTTTATTACATCACGAAATAATTTTCTTTGGATATTAAAAAAAATTCAAAAATAATTTTTAGGGGAGAGTAGTAGTTTTGTGGAAAAAAACTAAAATACTTTTATACTTTTGAATTATAATTTCTTAAAAACCTGATGATATTCATATTAGCATGTCAAAAACTTTTTAAAAATATAGTCCAATTTCTCTTCTAATATTTTGAAGACCTTATTTATGTAAAAGAAATGTGTTGGTAGTATTATGATAATCAGTTTTTGTAAAAAAAAATGAATTCATCAAAATCTATTCATCATCCAAAAACTGCATATTTTTAAATAAAACTGGTAAACTTGAATGAATGAAAAAACAAAATATATTTTAAATTATATTATGAACGTTTCATGGTTGAACGCTAAAATTGTTTAAAAAAATTTAAATTCGTTATTTAAAAAGATACAGGAGATACATATTTTTAAATGGCAACATTGCGTACTAATATTAATTCATCATCATATTAAAAACAACAATATTATTTATTTTACGTCAGACTTGACAGCAAATACAGCATGTAATAATAAACAAATATTATTATTACTCTCGGTTTAACAGAAAGTGACATCAACTATGTTATTTCAATGCCAATGTCAATTCTTAAACATTTTTCAACAAAATTTAATTACCTAAGAAAACCCAGGGCAAATTAGGCTAAGTTGAAAGGTTAATAACTTTTATATGTTAAATGTAACACCCGGAATGTTTTAACAAAATCAAATAGTAAATTGAAAAACTTTTTAATTGATGTTTCTATTCCTTTTACTAATTTTAATAAATTCAGAGCTATTTAACAATTTCTAAAATTTTAAACATTATTTTGTATCAAGAAACCTGTGACTTGTGAGTTGACGGTATCTATGGTTACCACGTCATTGTTTAAAATTTAATGGCGTTTATTAGTTAGGTTCTTATAAATAATTCGTTTACTAATTAGGTGTTTTGTAAACAGTATTATAATAAAAAATAGCAGTCATTCACTTATAAAAAGCATTGAGAAGCCAAGCCAAAATTTAAAAGTTATACGAACAGTGTAATGTTCGTATAACTTTTAAATTTGATAATTTTGAAAAAACTCAACAAAGCTGTAGGATGTAAAATATTAAATTAATTTCATAAAATATTTAAATAATAAAAATAATGCGTAACTAATTTATTTCTAAAGGTTTGAAGTGTCCTCCATTCTTACTTAGACGTTGCTCTTCTTAACTAAAATATTGTTGGTTTAATACATTTTTACAGTTACGTTTTTTTATTAAAATTTATAAAATAAATTTTATAAAAATATATAAAAGTTATATTTGTTGATTTTTTTTGAATTTAGGAAATACTGTTTGTATGACTATTAAATTTTAAAATTATATGGTTTGTCACGGACGGCTATTTATTATTATTAACAAATTGGTTTTAGGAACCTAAAAAATTGACGACATTAAATTTTGAACAATGACAGATTACGTGGTAACCATAGATACCACCCGTCACAGGTTTCTTGATAGAAAATAATATTTAAAATTTTAGAAATTGTTAAATATTTGTTAAATTATTAACTTTAGTTATAGAAAATAGTTGCATCAAATAAAAGGTTTTTTAACTTTTAATTTGAATATGTAAACACATACCAGGTGTTTTTTTAAATAAAAAAGTTGTTAACTTCTAAAGTTACCCTAATTTGACCTGGGTTTTCTTAGGTAATTTGTTAAAAATGTTAAAGAATTAACAAGGATTTTTTAAACAATGTTTTAAAATTACAAAAAACTTCATCCTCATATTCGCATACCTAATAACAAAAAAGTTATAGGCTATTTTCAAAAGACGCGCATTGGTTGAATTTTAACGAAAACAATTAATAACTCGAAAACTATTCACTTTAGGTATAGGACATGGTATAGTAATTTTACTCATAATTGTATGTAAAATTTAAAAATGTAAAAATATATGGGTGTTCTATTTGAAATAACAAATGTGATGTCACTTCCGGTTGAACCGGAAGTGCCATTTTGTTCAAAATATTTTATAAAAATAGACTTAAATGGATTGTTGTCTCTTTAAAAATTTCAAATCGATATCTTTTTTCATTCCCCAGAAAATTCTTATGTACTACGAACGTAAAACACCCTGTATAAGACTTGAAGCAATATAATCAGAGCAAACCAATTATTTTTAGGTTTAAAAACCTAATGTTTACGCTTTCATATCTGTTTAGGTAATAAAGGTAGAATTTACACTTTTTTAGGATTTCTGGGGATCAGTAGATCGTGACTTCTGGGACACCCTGTATTGTAATATTTTCGAAAAATAAGGCAAAATTAGCGTTAAAATAACAGATAAAAAACTAATTATTTTTATTCAAATTTCAAAGTGAACCTTTTGGGTGTTGGGTATGGAATAGTATTTTACTAATAAATTATTTCCACACATATAAAAGAGAGCGACAAAAAATGTTGTCATATTATATTAGGATCAAAGTAAACCATTATAAAATCGTTAGGTTTAATTTGATGATAGGCGTAGTAGAAATATTTTCTCGTAAAGTTGCAACAATATTCCGCCTGTTGCCCCACCACGCTTAGAGTAAATGTAAATGTCGATTGGCAAAGAGCGCGAGCGGCCAGTTTATGTGTCGGTTTGACTAAACAAAAAACAAAAAATCTAGTGGTTGAATTGTAGAAAACCGGTTAGAAAGTCCAAAACTTGAGCGAAACAAATGGTTGCGAACGATTAGTTTGACCTACGGGACAAGTTTTCTGTGACCATAGGCGTAGATTGGGCTCGAAGAATTTTAAAAATTCGCCACAGGCTACAAAACGAGAATCATGTTGCAAACTATTTTCAATTTTATTAAGATATCTATTGATTTTTATTGTCGTTTAATTTTTGTTTTATGGGTCACAGATTCTTAACTAATTTTTATTAATTTATGTTAATTAATTTACACCAAATTACTATAAAAAAACAATAACAAGTGATGTTATGTGATAATCTTAATAACGGGGGTATAATTTTGCTATTTAACACCATTATGATTTTTCAAATAAAAATATTTTTATTACATTTTTATTACCCATAGGGAATTAAGTAAACTTAAAAAACCTTTTTATTAAAAAGTAACATCCCCTATAATATTGCAACCAATGTCATGAAAATTTGAAAATTTACTATTATTATCTTCCTTATATCATAAAAAATTTACAAGTTAATTTATATTGCAAATACAAATAATTCTATAATTATATATCTATATAGCTGATTAATCTCAAAGCTCATAGCTGAAGCAGCTAGGTTTCATCAAATTGTCAAAAAAATATTAATGAATTGGAACCAGTTAAATTTTGCATAGGCACGCCCTGTTACTATTTACAGTACTGTACAAAATTTAAACAACTTTCTTTATCTATAGATTATAGATTTAATTATAACATTTGACCATTTTGTGAACTCACTTTATTTCCTGATTTTTTATAATGTAATTTATAATAATTTTAAACAAATTTTTATTCGAGACATTTTAAACTGTTCGACTTTAGATCCTATAGGCACTAGATGTGCAACAAATCACAATCCACACAACAAGGGCTGTTTTATCTCGTTTCGCGCATACTAAAAATTACTGCTACACTGCACAGACTCTAACGGCGGCCATTTGTATGTTGTTTACAATTCTTGTACTTTAGGTTTGTGCCCTTTATATAGATTAACAATCGTTTTTAACGCTGTTTCTTACAGAGGCCTTAAATTGCTAAGAACAACCAGTGTACTCCTCTTTTTTATAAAAATAAACCTTATTCTATATTTGACAGTTCAATGTCAGCCCTGCTAGAATAAGGTTTATTTTTACCAAAAGAGATAGAACCGACCTTGTGTGAATTGTGCAATAAATGTAAAACAAATACCTCAATTTTAATCTTTAAAAATTAAAAAGGGTCAAACCATGCAAAACAGCAAGAATGAAAGAGATATAAATTACTATTACTGCCAACGCAAAAGTCATTACGTGATGGAGAAAGTGACTATGCCGCCTAAACTGTCAAAATATTGTCCTTATAAATTAGGTATTACACGACTTTTTACAGTTCTCTAATATTGTCACTTATCAGTTGGAATCATAGCATTTTCCAAACAAAAGTTTTGCTCGATATTTTTTACAGTCAAAACGATTTTTTTTCTGGAAGATATTTACCTAATGTGGCCACCATAATGTCAAACGAAAATACCTAGTAAAACTGTAAAATAATATACATAGGTATATAATTTTGCATAATATGTGCACAATATAACAGTATACAGACAGGACTGTTTTGACAATTTGCGTAGCAGTCATAGATAAAAATGCATTTTTAAAATAAAAAAATGTCTCTTCTTCATACCTTGTTATACAGTACTTACCCAGGAGTCCTGGGAGA